ATTACTCCTATCTGTTCCTTCTCATATGCAAGGCCAAATGGGTATCTACTGGAACTGGAAAGAACCATACAGTATTACCATGTACAACTTCTCACAGCAAGGTGGTGTAAAAGCATGGGGTTTAATTCCACCTATCCCTTTCTAGGTGGTAATTTCCAAGATCTCCATGTATATGAAGAACAGATGGCCTATTGCCTTCCATTTTGATACTTCGGACAATTCCAGAGTTTCTGACTGATTTCTGAGTAACAAGGGCTTCGTGTTTATATTTAAGAATACACATGTGAAACAGAGTTGCAGTAGCTACAATAACGTTTTCTTTTCCCTTGTAAATATGTCATGTAAATATTTATCTGAAAACCCTCAAAAAATTTAAGAAATATTTTTCTTTGGGAAGCGTATCTGTTAACTCATTAGCATTGCACTTCAGACATACTCACTCACACATTTCTATAGAACAACATACATGGCTAGCTATAAAAGTGACCTGAGCAGATGTAAGTATTCCTCTGTTTATACGCAAGTTGCAGTAATGTGTATTCATTACTTTTATTCTGAACAGTACCTGAGAAAAAAAACTATAGCCAGACTAGATTCCAGCAGGTCACTGCCCCTCGCATTCTAAGGCAGTCAGGTTTCCATTCATTCATTATTCTGTCACTCATTCAAACAGAATCCCATTAAAAATGGATAATCTAATTTACAAAAAATCCCACTTCTTTCCTCATGAATTTCTACAGGCAAGCATTTAGGTTTCAATGCAGATTTCACCATTTACATTTAAAAATCAGATGCTTAGCAAGTAGCAGCAAACAACACATCTAAAACATAAAGTCTTGTTTTTCCAGATAAGAAAATACTATGACTTATCACCATCTCTTTATTAAACAAGTTTAAAAATATCAGAAACTGATTTCTGCAAATGTTTCACCTCTGTTTTACCTGCTTCTGTGTACTTTAGTCCTACTTTTACTTCTTCGTGCTTTGCTTTTGGTGGTGGCCAGACAGTCTGGAGTCTCCCTGGAGTCTTGTCATCTTGCTCTGAGGGACTCAGGTCAGGCTGTTAAAATTACGCAAGAAAAAATTAAAGTCTGCAGTGTCAATTGACTCCAAAACAGCAACCACCATGCTCAGCTCTAGATGTATACTCCAGAATGCTCATCTGCCTCATTCTAGTGATTGAAACAGTGCTCAGTTGATTGGAAAGGATACAAAGAAATCGGTGTAGAAACATAATTTTGACAAGGAAAATAACATAATGCATATGACATAGAATGATATGCTGAAACTGTTCACATCAGTATGGAAAGCTGTCTGTGCTTTGGTGAATCACAGAGGTGGCCAAGAACACCAGGGAGTTTCTCCTGTTTCTTTAAGAGTGAAAAGACCCATCTGTGTTCCTCTTACAAGGAAACATTAGTGCAATTCACCTAAGACATCATTTAACAATATAATTTTCTGGAAGCAGAGCTAGTCTATGAAATTCCTGCCCCACCCCCAGCAGCTTGCTCAGTCCACATACCATGTAGTACTGTCACATCAAAGTGCTGCTGCAGCTGTTAATGGGACTGCACTGTCAACTGGAATGCTTAAAATAACCCTTTAAATGGGGAAAAAACAAATCCAAAACCAAAACACCGAATAAGCACTCTTGCAGAGGTTTAGGGTTTGGGGTTTTTTTACATCTCTGGCATTGCTGTAATCTGATTTACAACATGCTACTATGAGAAATTGCACAGACACAACCACAGCAACAGCAAAACTCGGTATGAAAGTGGCCCCATAAATGGCCCACACGAGCAAGGAAAAAGGAAAGGCAAGACCTTTTACTCTGGCTTTGCTCTCAGAAAATGTGCATTTGCACTAGACCAGATGTTAAGCAGACATTTATAAAAGCTGCTCCAGCTGACTGCTGCGCCTCCTCACTCACTCTGTGTGAGGACAGCTTCCCAAATAGATTTACTGTGAGCCACACAGATGCTTACGCCAGCACAGCACAGAGAATGGTGCAAGCAGGAAGAAACAAGCCAGGAAGGGGAAGAGCACACACAGACTGCTATTGCTGTACAAGCCACAGCCAATGAGTATCTCTTTTCTCCTTGCCATAGGTAATTTACTGCAAACTGGCATTATCAGTCTACCCAGGTGTCACTGAAGATTTTTTAAAAGTTTTAAATTTTATGTAAGAATAAAAATTTGAAAGAGAGTACAACCAACACACCAAATTAACTTAAATAGCTTCTGGTGTAGGGTCCAATCCTGCAAATTTAATCATTAAGATAATTCCCCCTTTAGCCATCCAGAACAATCTTCTCAACTGATTATATCTGCCAAACATGTAGCTGTAAGAATTTGGGTTGGGGGAACCCCAACCCAAGGGTTACTCATTTAATTAAAGAGTTGAAATCACAGTCAAAGTTATTTATCATTAGGGTTCTATGAAAACCTAGCATAGAGTTTGGGGTTTTTTTAATTTCTTAAAAATTTACTAACTAAATCTCCATATGCATAAGAATATTAACCTTACAAATGCTTGCATTAATCCATAACTTGAGTCGTCTAATTGGAATCATAAAGTAATTCTCAGATAAGGCTAAATGCTTATCGATATTTGCAAAGCCAAGCAGATCCATGCAAATAGGAAAAAAAAACCCTTTAAATTCTATATCTTGGACAAATTGAATTGAAAAATTGAAAATCATCCATAACTTCTTCTATCAGATCTTATCATAGAATTATTCCTAAAGGTAAAATGAAGCATTACTTTTAAAAATAAAAACCTCAATGAAAGAAAACAGAGTGAGATTGAGAAGCTATGAAATAATACTACAGTAGATATTTGCAGCACCAAACTGATTTAAAACCATATTTACTATATGGACAATTGTTTTGTAGTGATCTTTTAAAATCAGAAACTGATTTTTTAAGTTCTCACTTCTAATTGAAAGGCTGTGACTACCACCATTTCTTACTGAATTCTGCTACAATTGAAGATGATCAAGAATTTTGACAAATTAGCCCCAACATTTCTTCAGTTGGGAATCCAAAATTTGAGATTGACAAAAGAAGAGGACAATTCTGACATTTTGACCTTATTTACCCACCAATTTTTTTTTATCTATTTCCAGATCTTAGGAAGAAAAAGTAATTCAACCTACAGATTTGTCTGATGGTCCATCCCCAGGTTTTGATTTTGACCTTTCAAATACAGCTTTCAAGGACTCTTTTTCATTTCTCATTTTGCGTTTTATGGCTTCCAGCTCTGAAGTATCTGCAGTTGTTTCTTTTTTGGGAGGCCGTGTGAATAAAGCTTTAAAGACGTCCAGTGCAGATTCAGCAGGGCTTGATTTTATTTCCTCAGAGGGAAATCGTGGTTCTGTTTTGCTGGAGGCTTTGTTCTCTTGAGCTTCATCACTGTCCTCGGTCTCCCCAGATCCCTCACCAGAGTCCTCAGTTCTATCTTCATTTTTAGAGACGTCTATGTTTAACAAGTGTGAGAGTTGTTCCAGGAAAGTAGGACTTGCTTTAAGTTCAGCTGATTTTTTTTTAGTGGCCAAACCTGATATAATACTGGATTTCTTAACAGGCTGTCGTAATTTAAGCAGAGCTAAATCATCCTCCCTTGGTTTAATTTCTGTAACAGTTTCACCATCCTCTGTGGTTAGTCCCTTTTTCCTCACACGCAGTCCACTAAAGAAAGCAGGCAGCTGGAAAGTCTTCTCAGCCAGTGCTGGTTTTTGGAGCAATGTATTATCAGCTAAAGGTCTTTGTTCTTCATCTGGAAGTTCTTGAGGGCATTCCCCTGTAGCAAGCAAGAGACTGAACTGCTCATCCATTAACATTTTGTCTCTTCCACTGGAGTCATGCTCCAGAATGCCATCCAGCTCTTTTGGGAGCCGCTCAGAAATTGGTGGATGTAAGCCAATGTCATCTGTATCCACAGTGTCATCACTGTTACTGTGCCCTTCTGATTCTGACTCTTCCTTATTTTGATTGTTGTTGCCCAAAGTCTCAGCAGACAAAGCAGCATTGTCTAGCCCAGATTCGCTTGCATTGTTTTCATTGGTGTTTAGGTCCTTACTCTCCGTGTCCGATTCTGTATCACTTGTTGTCTGAACCAAAGTACCTTGTACAAGAATAGCATCCTTGTCATCATTGTCAGATTCAGACAAAGAAGTCTGTACAAACCTTAAATGGTGAAGAAGTAAGTCATTTTGTTCAGCTAACTCCAGTTTCAGGTCCATGTGCCTACCAGACATTGGGTCAGCTTGGCCACTGGTACTATTCATGCCGGGCTGATTTTCTGAGTCGTCATTACAGTCATTATCATTCCTCTCATGCCAGGTGTTAGCAAGAGCATTTATATTGGTGTGCAAAGGTTGAAATGCTTTAAGCACTGTTTCTTCTTTGGAAGCTGTAGATTCAAATTTAGTTGTAAATCCAAAAAGTGTTTTCACTGAAAATGTAGTAAAAAGATCAGGTTCGCTTTTTGCTGTATTCTCCAGGTCTGAAAGCTCAACACAGTCAGGCACTGCATTTTCTTCTTCCATGTTGCATGAAGTACGGAATATGCTTGCTTCTACTAGTGCTACTAACTGCAAAACAAGTATTTACTACACGCATTCAGACAGCAGGCTGAACTCACTACAGGCACTGCAACAGGCAGTGCTCCCCTGCCCTGCAAAGGCAGTCAGCCTCCCGACGTCACCCTGCCCCTCCTTCCACTTCCAGCACTGCACCCAGCCCGCCGGAGAGGCCGTCAGGCCTCCCAACTCTACCTCAGGAGCAGCAAAAAGACCCGCCATAAAAAAAGTTCTCAGCAGCGTCAGTAACTTGTTCCTTTACACAAAGAGCTTTTTGTCACAGCAAATATGCCTGCGCACTAATCTCGGTTGAAAATTCAACCAATGGTTACTGCTGGGACGTCTGCAATCCTACTGGCTGCACACAGCTTCCTACGTGCTAAAAACACAGAGCAGCTATATAAACAAGCCTCCCCATCAGAACTGGGCACATTTGGAGTTTGCTACTTCCTTATTCCAGTACACAAGCTGCGAGTGGTTGTCAGCAGAAAAATCCTGATGAATTCTTTTGCACAGTCTTCCACTTCGATAAAGATCTTCTTTTGTAAATCCATAATCACCCAAAAATGAAAAATGGAAACCTGAAGTAACAAATCCGCAGCTTCCAATGCCACCGCCCAGAGTCTGTACAGAGTCCCCAGCTCCTGGCCGGCTAGAGTGAACTCGGGTGAGTGCCCTTGAAGCTGAAGAAAGCAGGGGAAAAAAAAAAGGCTCTATTCCGATTTGCTGCAGGTTTCATCTGGAATGCAGCTTTCAGCCTCCAGGGCCATGAACAAAAACCAACGAGACTGGTTTCATATTACTACTGTCCTAAGTCTGCACAGCTACTTCTGTGAACTGTACACAGGTACTTATCAAAGGCTTTCGCCGCCACACCCAGTGACTAGCTCTTTGGGTGGGCAGGGTAAACAGCCAGCACTCCCAACGCTGAGTTAACTGTTTAGAAATCAGCAGGCTGTCCATCTGCGTGGCACCAAGCCTGGGTTATTTCAAACCAGAACAATCTCCGCTGACACACTTTTTGATAACTTTCATATGTATATATATTGCCACGGTAATGCTTTATGTGTGAGATTTGTTTTAGTTAATCCTGGCGAAAACACTTCAAGGAAATCATCAAGACTGCGTAACTCAGTATTAACAGAAGCTGCCAGAGTACAAAGAAAGTACGAAATACTCTTACCACCTTTCCTATTCAGAAATTCAGTTCCCATCAAAAGTCTTCATTTTTGTTCCTTTTCTTACTTTTGGAACTATATACTGCAAATCTGCGGGAATTGATACTCTTCTTATTCCGTGTTTAGTCAGATTTCCACATTAGTACCTTAGAAATTCAAAGATATTATTCTTTTTCTTCGCACCCAAGTCCGAGGGTCATTCTACAGTCAGCCATTTAGCTGGGATGAGTAATCTTAAACACGCAGCATGGGGAAAGCTGTCCTTCACAGGCAAATCAGCTGCAGATCACACCACTGTGTCAAATTACTGGGAAACATTGACTGAAAAACTGAACATTACAGACAAGCTACAACAAAGAATCCCAACACATTTAACTTTTGGTTTCATGTTTAAAAATGGAGATTGTACAAAAAGTATGTGTTTATCTTTTCAATAATTATAAAAGATCATAAAGTCAACAGCAAAAGTCAGCTGGAAGAAAGTTTCCCAAAAACCAGATTGTAACACTAAGGCCTTTGATGAAGCTTACAGGCACCTTTTCAATTACAGGCTTGCATGCATACCTACAGACAAAGGGCACTGGAATCATTCCCATCTTTATCTGTGATTTAACATAGAACAGTATCTTCTGCTTTACTGCATGCCATTTCCTGTAGGAAGCTCTGGACTTGCTTCTCCGCTATGCTTAATCATCTGGTGCCAAGGACAGAAATGACTCCCCTGGTTTTCTGGGCTTAATATAGATTAATATTACAAAAGGAAGCCCTGCTTAATTTATCACTCCATATGCAAACCTACTCTTGCAATCCCAGGGTTTGTAAGACAAATGGAAGGTAGCTACCTCAGCACTCATGATTTCCCCTAAGACAAGAGCATTTCCAAATTTAATTTTATGACAGAATGACATATAGTGATAGGACAGAGGGTAATGGGTTTAAACTGAACGAGACTAGATTTAGGTTAGATATAAGGAAGAGGATCTTTACTATGAGGGTGGGGCGACGCTGGAGTTGCCAGAGTTGTGGATGCCCCATCCCTGGAAGTGTTCAAGGCCAGGTTGGATGGGACTTTGATCAACTTGGTTTAGTGGAAGGTGTCCCTGTTCATGGCAGGGGAGTTGGAACTAGATGATCTTTAAGGTCCCTTCCAACCCAAGCCATTCTGTGATATTCTGTGACAGCTAGGGCAAAGTGACCCTACTGAACCAAAGTTTCCTACATTTAAATTTACATCTATTTTTATGTTCAACCATGGGATTAATTGTTCATTGTCCTGATACTGTCTATAGTTACGCCTTGCTTATTTATTTATGTACCTATTTGTTTGGGGTTTGGTTAACTTATGATGACTAAACATCAAATTGTGTTTTTCATGAACAGTTCCATTGATCACTAACAAAAACTGTATTATGTGAACAACTTCATGGTACCTCTTAAACTAAACATTCAGATTATGACAAAATATCTATTTATCTCTTTATATTAATGACAACCCATACTTAGAATAAAACTTTCATGTAATAATCTGGGGTCATCAAGCTGCAACAGTTCTACGAATATTGTTCATAGGCAGGTTACTGAAAATAGTCACTATGTAACTATTTAAGATTTTAGTATTACAGTACATATGAAAAGTTTAGTTTAAAAGTGACTTAAAACCAGGAAAACCATACCTTATGTCTAAACAACATCCCAACATAACTTATGAGACAATGATCGAATGAGTAGTGAAAAGAATGGTGCTTTGGGTGTCAGGCCAAAGTTATGCAATGCATAGAGATGCTAGAAAAAACAGAGTTGAACACTGAATAACTGAAACCCCAGAAGTAGAAATACACCTTATAAAGCCAGAGGTAATCTCATACGCCTGCAGAAAATGATACTGTTCTATGTGTAACTTTTCTCTTGATAATAAACTCGAGAAAGTGAGAAGAAACTTTCAAGCTTTTTTAGTATTAGGATGAACAAAGAAACTTGTGTCTATAACCATCCCTGGCGAAATGATCAAAAACTGGAAACTAGCCGGTCTCTCAAATTCACCATACAGCCCATAAGCCCCCAACCTCAAATACTGCTTTTGTAAGGACTTGTTTCTCACAGTCTGATGATCGTCCCAGTGGACAGTGGCCTGTTGAGGGACTGGATAACTAATAAAGAAATACACATTCGTACTTACCCAGTAGAGTGCTCCTTGGTAAAATACCTAGATTGATGCATGCCCTTAATATTTTTACACAAGAAGCAGATCGTTATATTTTGATGTGCAAATGAGTCAGAGACAGTATTCTGGCAGAAGTGGTTTAATGCTGGGTGGATCTATTTCACAAGGAAAGTGTCTCTGAAGAGGTTGCAATACTACTGCATCTGAAGGAATAAACAACTTCAAAATCTCTAGAAAAAATCAGTTATGATAATCATATTACAGGTCTCTACTTAATAAAACTGACAACTCTCCGGTGCCTCAGAAAAGCCCCTAAAACCTGTCATAGCAACTTTCAGGGCAGTCAACTCGCTAATTATACAAAAGGACAATCATTCTTTACAGTTTAAAGCACATTTAATAATCCACACCCTTCCTGACCTACATTTTATCACAGACAGAAGTCACACCTACAACTCACTCCTGTTCTGTTTCTGAGGTTACGTTTTTAAACTATCTTTGATGAAAACACACAATAAGCCAGAATAAAGTAATCTAATTTCTATCTCTGCCACATGGCAGGACACAAGGCTTCCTGACCCTGTATCTATTCATATTGCCTTTTCAGACCTCTGTAACAGCAAACTAGAGAAACAAGAACAGGACATGAAGACATTTTACAGAACATCCAAGTGGCTAAACATTTGTACTGTTTTTCAGCACAAAGAGCTTTAACCAAGAAAATTTGTGTAATTTCTTGAAAATAATCATAGAATCATAGAATGCATGAATTGCGTTAGGCTTCAGAAGAGCCGCGTGAAGCAGCAGGCAGTGGTTGTGGTTGTGTGAAGCTCAGCTGACATAGTCTTGCCCTCTGCCCTGTCCCAGGCCTAGCCCTTACTGTGCTGACTGATATGGATCTTAACATTCGCCTGCACTCTTGTTTGTCTCTCCTGGTGTTTATCTCATTTTATACTTAGCATTTTAACTCTTTAAATGCTCTAAAATAGAAAAGGCAGAAAAGATGGAAGGAAATCTGTAAACCCTGGATTTTCACCATTATTCTCAGCCTTGTTACCTCACTGTAGACCATTATGTGAACAATTTTCCTGAGGTTTGAGGATCCTGGTATCGCCAACATAATCATTTTAAATGTAAGTAATTAAGTTTAGATGTAGCAACAGAAACATAGGTATGATAATTCTTATCAAAATTCAGCATTACATGATGTTAACAGAACGAGTGGGCACCAGACACATTTGGTGTAGGGAGCTGTAGAAATGCAATGTGGTTTTTATCATCTTCATCAAAATTCTATTTGACATTGAAATACGCACTACTTTAGAGAATTTGGAAAAAGATTATGATGGTTATATGGTTATAAAACTAGAAAACACATTGAGAAAGCAAGCTAACTCTTATGAAGTGCATATTGTATCAATACATGTATGGAACAGTTAGCCTGTAAAACCCATCACATCAAACTCAGTGTTAACTCTGATGCAGAACTTGTAGAAAGATGTGTTGGCTGACCTCCTGGTTAAAACAAGTGGACATACAAATAACAAAGACAGGGAACAGAAGATCACTCTAAACTGTGTAAATAAACTGAGCAAGATCTTTGTGCATTAAGCCACAAAGGCCGGCACTTAGTGTAACAAAAAAAGGAGATGAATTTTTAATCTTTTCCCTTTGTGCTTTCCTTTTCTAGGTTGCTCTCTTTTCACCTTCTTTTAATTTCAACAGGCCTTTTGCTCCAAATCTATAGTATGATATAATAAAGATTAAACAAAAAACTTTATAAAATAAAATCCACAGTCATGACAATTTACCAAATTTTCTTTAGTAATTACTACCTATTAGTAGTTATTTTAGCTGCAATTTCACATCTTATTTATGTGCTTTTTTATCTGAGATGAAATGCTGCATAAAGAATAAGGTGGAGCTTCATTTCTATTTTGTTTCATTATATTCCTTATTGCCATATCTTTTCTATGCTGGCTGGTGAATGAGAACACAGCATGCTCCAACTAAAACTTAAAATCTAATACAGGATTTTTTTTTCCAGGCCTCTGATACAGATTGTGCACTTGAAATTCCTGTCACAGCAGAATTCATTCACTCTCTCCCTCATTTATTTTATTAGCCTCCTCCCAACTAACAAAACCATAGAAACATCTTTTCAATAACATAAGCAAACAGTAGGATATCTACATATGTACATATACAAATATAGTATACATTTCTGTAAGGATGATCCTAATCCATAAAAAGCATTCAATAAGAAGCTTGGGATTTCACACTGTCGTTACTATGAATATAACTGCTTTTTGATCAATCAGGTTAAACTTTTTCTTCCAACAGC